GCGAGGGTTGAACCAGCGAGGGTTGAACCAGCGAGGGTTGATCCAACGCCGGAAGCAGCAGATAAGCCTCTCAGTGCAGGGCCTCCTGGGGCTACTGCCCCGGGACCTCGGGATACAGCACAACATCTCACTCTGCCTGTGGCCAAGTAAGCTGGGGAAGGGGCTGTGTGTAGAATGTGGGTGCCAGGCTACCGAGTTCCGAGTTCTGTTGGGGTCTGTCGTCAAGGAAGTGAGGTCACTTCCTGGTACCTCATTTCCTGAACCCCTCCTCTGTGTACAAGACTGCAATTGCCCGTCTGGGTACCTGACTGCTGACCCTCCTTCCCCATGAACTCTCTCTATTGGCCACGCTTCCAGCAACACTGCCTGATCACACCTCTGTGCAAGGCCTGGGTGCAGCCAGCATCACAGCTTGGAGGAGATACATGTAGGTTCAGTCCCAGCTCCTCCTCCTTATCACTTATGTGACCCTGGACAAGCCACTGTGACTCTCAGGACCTCCCCAGTCTCACCTTCTGCACAGTGGTGATCATTCTAGCATCTCCTTCCTAAGGATGTCATCAGGCATGTGTGAGCAAACATCCCTGAAACCTATGACTGGTGTCACATGTAGCTAATGAACAAAACTAGAGATAAAAATCCATGACGGGGTGGAAGGTAGCATGGAATACGACTAATGACAGGTCTGGTTTCTGCCATATAATCTCGAAAATGTTGCTTTTGCTCTTGGCCTGTTTTCCCTGTCTGCACCATAATTATTATTACCAAATTGTACAGATAAGCAAATATGTACAGAGTCTGAGTGAAAACAGCCAGCTGCAGAGTGGCAGTCTTGTCAGTAACCAGCGACATCTTCTTGCGTGGTCTTTCTCTCTGGACTTTCTTCTTTCCAGATCCTGCTTGGGTGGATTAATCTGGTACAGGTGACTAATCATATCCATTTGCATAAGGATCTTTCAAAGTTGCACGATCAGGTTTTACAGATGAGGAAACTGACACAGAGATTTAAATAACTTCCTGGGCCCCGGGGAGCAGGCACATCTTTTGAAACTAGATCTGTGCGATTGAGACAGAGATGAGGGGGAGGGGGTTGGGGGGCACTCAGCTCCTGGCTGAGGCTTGCCAAATATTATTACCAAACCCAAGTCTGGCTGCCTCCCCCTAAATAAAAATAAACCACCCAAAAGTCAAATGTTGGTGAACATTGAAGTAAGACTTTATTGAGGAACATCAGTGACCTGAGGAGAGATGTTGGGCTGACCCATCTCTCTAGTAAGCCTGAAGGAGAGTGGCCAGGCTGAAGCCATCTCAGACACTCAGGTTTACTGAGGGGTTTGTAAAGAGGGGCTGAGGGAATGGAATGTGGGACAGGAAAAGCAGGAGGGAGGGGACGTGAGCTACAGGAGCTCCGTGCAGGGAGCCAAGTGCAAGTTCTCACCAAGGCTCCACCTGGCTTCTGCTGCTGCCCTTGCTGTTACCTCAGGTCCTGCTGGAGGGGTGGATCCACATAGCTTTTCTGATGTCTCCCTTGACTTCTCAGGGTCTGGATAGTATGTGCCTCCCAGCAAGTTTGCAGCTTCAGGCTGTCAGGAAAACAACTTTACATTTAAGTAAATAATGTCACCCCATAACCAAGGCTCAAAATATCAAATAACCATGGGAAAAGAGGGAACTCAGAGAAATGCATGCTAAGAATAAAAACTGAGTATCTTAAAAATCTTTTAGAGTCTGTGAGGTTTTAGGTCCCAATATGGCTTCAGTCCTCGTCATTCCAACATGATTACAAAGCCCTGGCTCTTTCCTGAATGTCTCAACTACCCAAGACAGTGCTGGGCCAAGGTATTTGCTCAAAACATGCTTGTTGAATTGGTTTTACCAGATCTGGAAGTAGG